AGAGAGAGAGAGAGAGAGAGAGAGAGAGAGAGAGAGAGAGAGAGAGAGAGGCTTTCAGGAAAAGTTAAGTATTAAATTTTGAATTCCTTTTTTAGCTAAGCTATTTAACTGCACTTTTATTTTCACTGAAATTACAGAACTCAATAATATCTTTTTTAAGGAAATCATCCTTCACTGCACTGGAAAAGAATTCCTCCAACATGTCATAAACTTTATAGAAAGCACTTTAAAAGTCTATTATACAAAAAATAGTTGTCTCTATATATAGTGCCTACAATTCTATATAGTATTCAGCACCAAACCACTTCTTCCAACAATTCTGAACATCCTATTTTTTCTGAAGAAACCTACCAATTTCAAACTTTGTCCCAGCAACATTTGCTGTAATTATTCCCTTCTTTTTCTTCTTTCTGACTTTCCTTTTCATGGTGCTTTGATAAGGTAATTCCGTACTCAGAGTCAGAGGAGAAGGTGTCTGTATAACTGTAAAAGAAAGGTAAACAATCAAGTATTACTACAATTTAAAAATAAACCCACACCAGAAATACAACTCCCTCCTACCACAACTTAAGTTATGATACCTTAAAAGTTCATAAGTAATTTGAGTAATTTAAAAACTTAACAGTAACTATTCCTAACACATTCATATCTTGTGACATGGAACATCAACTTGCTTACCCCCTTCTTGGGGCAAAGATGGCATCGCTGTCTGCAGCAGTTAACAAGAAGCGTGGGCCTCTGTACCAGAAGCTCAGGAAACCTGCAAGTCCTGCGCCAGTCTAAGAGGAATGTGGTCCCAAATCACTGAAAGTTCCTATCATATTATCTTGGTGGAATCCTCAGATTTCAAGACACAAATTATGAGATAAAAAGGTACCTGTAGAGATTTTTAAACAAAATAATTTGGAAAACAACTGTTAAGTAAGTTTTTATTTCTGATACATGCGAATATTATTCTTTATAAAAGTCAAGACAACAAATTCAATCAACAAATATCTTTCAATTTATTAAACTTTATGTAAGATATCACAGTGTGGTTCATTATTCTGAAAAGACCACACAATCTAGTGGAAGTTTTATTAAATTTTTATATACATCAAATAACAAACACAAGCAATGACAATAATAACAAATTCACTTCTAAGTATCAAACATCTGCCATCTGAGGCAGTTTCCCTATACTACTCAATCTTTTAGCAAGCCTTGGAGGTGGGAGCTTTTAACCACACATTGCAGATTAATAGAGCTGAAGAAAGGACAAAAACTTTTGTCAGTCCTTATAAAGAAAGCAATTAACATAAGAGAAATTAAAATGAAGAGCCTCCTGAAGTCAAAGCCAGAGTCCTATAACCAGGAACCCAAACGACCTTCAAACCAATACCTAACACACAACTGCAACAATGCCTTTAATAGGAAGTGGTGAACTAACTACCAGGGGTAGAGATTATCTACTGAGTGAATGCAGAAAAGAGGACAGCACAGAACAGACCACTTGTGAACGGCGCCTTACAAAATGGGCCAAGCTTAAAGGGCAGAAAATAGGAGGAGTCAGTACTGTTAATCTCATGAGCACGATGAACTTCTCTTTAAGGAGCTACTTTGATTTAGCTTACACTCAACTTGACTTATATTTGCACTGTGAATGCACGCACCCATGCCCTGACTATACTAGATGGAAATCTTATACTATCAGCTTTCTCATTTCTCCCTTCATAATGTTACAATCTTTGAGTTTTTGTAAAATGTCCCTATACAGAATAAAAAGTTAAACCTATTAGGACAAAGGTATGTAACTACCTCTACTCAAGAGATTATCAGAGTTATAAGAAACTCAGAAACATTCAGCTACATAAAACGTGACTCTTCAGAGAACAGAATCTGTAATAAAGAGGGGCTTGGGTCCGAGACTGGTGTCTGTTTTGCCTTATGCACTGTGAGCTATGTGGAAGCTCCACTTGCCCTGGGTCACAGCGAGAAGACCTGCAGGCCACTGACCACGGGGCAAGACAAGGACCTGCTGCGGGAGACAAGGGCTTCAGAGCAGAGCAACAGCAATAGGAAGTTTTGCTTAATAAAGTTTCTTTATTAACCCTTGTCTCAGCCTTACAAGAAGGCTTTGTTCTTCTTACTAGCCCGCAGCAAATGACATCCTGTTCCAGGAAAAGGACACCACCCTCTCTGAAAATGTGTGTTTGTGTTCAAGAAATGGTGCCAAGCTTGGAGTCTTTGACTTGCCCAGCCTAAGGCACCAACCTCCCAGCGCTGCTTTACACATTACTAAATTGTCTGCCTCTTATCTCACCCTCGCCTACCCGCATACAGACACTTGGCTGGGTCCTAGAAGGAACTTACATATATCACCCCAATATTCATTATTAATAAGAGCTATTCTTAAAGACAATTTAGAGCTTCATGTGTTCTCAGCTATGATTTGTACTAGAATTCCCCAGTACAATCCAGTATCAAAGGTAGGAAATTTTTATGACAGAACAACAGTGGGCAGTGTGTTAAGCCTTTTACACAGTTTGTCTCATTAACCAACATTGAGCTTCAGTTCATTATTCCCATTTTCCAAACAGGTAAACTAGGGCCTGCCAAATAGCTCAGCGGATTAAAGCACCTGCAAGCAGGCACAGGAGCCAGGGGTTCAATTCTGGGGCCTGCCGTGCCGGCCCCGCCCCCAGAGGCACGCTGAGGCAGCGATTGACATTGGGCATAATGGCGCACTCCTGTAATCCCAGCTCTTGGGAGGCTGTAAACAGGCGGATCACTAAGAATCTGATCTAGTAGTCAGAACCTGAACACCCTGTAGACCTTTCCATAAAATAAAAAAAAAAAAAAAAAAAAAAAAAAGATATACTAAGGCTAGTAAGTTCAAAAAACCAAGGAGAGCTAAAACTCAAGATAGCATGGTTTAGAAACAACTCATTTCTGATGAAATACTCAATCAGGGGAGCACCACGATTTTCAGACAGCATGTAAGACACTACAATGACCTACCACTCGAGGAGCTACAACGCTCCCGCAGTACATGCTGCAAGATGTGGCCACCGCCGGGGCACTCGCTGCAGTTTTCAGTAGTTAAAAGATAAACAGTGAAGCTCACAGTGAACATCTCTAAACGGATCTCTCAGCTCCCCATCTGAAGTGGAAAAGGCCTAGATCATGTCTCAGAAGAGACAAAGGAGTAGCCTAAAGTTCAGTCCAGTTTCTTTCTGGAGGCTCTCTGTTGCTTCAGGGAGGTAACTATTTGAGTTCATGAGTTCTTGTCCAACATCTTGTTACTGGAGTAAACAAAGGTCCCCTTTACAGTGTCAGAGTTTTAAGTTCATTAAAAGTAGGTGACAAAGTCAACAAGACTTTGAGAACAATGTGAACCTAATTACACTAGGCTCTCAAATGGAATCTTTTCATTTCTAACAAACAATAAGAAAAACAACAAATGTGTAAAATTTTAAGAAAAGAATGCTTATACCTTCTCCTCACTTGCCAATTTAAAAATTATATTCTCCACATAAAAATCTTACTGAATTCCATTTACATTTGGTGAAAATGTTTAACACACTAGACTTCAAGGAAAGCTATAACTACCTTTCACAAAGGAGAAAGTGTTTGTTACTTGTGAAATACTTGAAGCCAATGGCTTCCCAACTTTGACTGCAAAGAAAAATCACCCCTGAAGCTTTGAAAAGCATAGTGTCAGGACTGAATCTCCACACCAATGAGGAGCCAGCTGTCAGCACTTTTTTCAGTTTCTATTTTTTATTAGTACATGTTTGCAGCACAGAATGATCCTATTATTCACAGGCAGTTGGTGCACCTAAGACTACACAGCTAAGTGAAATAAACCAGACACATAAGCTTAAATATCACACGGTTTCTCTTACGTGGGAAATCCAAAATATAAATAAAGAGCAAACTAAATGGACAGGAAATAAGTAGACAGATCTTTTTGCAAATGGAGGACGACCAAGAAATGAGGGAAGGGGAGAGAGGTAGAGGGTCGGGGATGAAAGAAGAATTACAGTGTGATCTGTACAGGTGCCCATAGCGCTTCTCAAATTCAAGTGATCACACAAGTGCAGTCAAAGTACCAAATGTTACCGCAGGCACATAAAGACACTGAAGCTAAAAATAATTACAACATACAAACAGAAATTACAAGAAAAAAGTTAAAGATAAAACCATAAATTTTAAAAGGAACAGAACAATAGTGGTTATTTTTATAAATCCTATGTTCTTCAACTAAACAAACAGAAAATTATATCTGTAAGAAACAATTCATTTTTTAAAAACATTCTTTTAAAACTTCAAGTAACCTTGAACATAGAATTTTCTAATAGCCACAGATGCATGAGATTGAAACAAAACCAAAATAAATCCAATACATTTATGCTGGAGAACCCTTTCTTCCAAGTTCTTGGGGACGAACTTCTGCCAAACACTTGAAACTGAGATGAACTGTCACATTTTCCTGATCTATCTGAAAGAATTAACTTAGCTCCCTTTCCTGGTCCATAGAAACCCTTATTTAGAGCCCATCATAACCACAAGCCACAGAGGTAAGCTCCATGAAGCAGGCACTTTTAGTTTACCTGGTTCACTTCTCCAAGCTCAGGAACTGCAGCGCTGCCTGGCACAGAGGCAGCGAGCACTTCCCAATGAATGTTGCACTCTGAATCTTTAAATCCCCTCCTCAGTTCCTGTAGAAACTTAACCTTCAATGCAATAAGATCGGCGGAGGCGGGACTTCTAGGCGGTGAAGAGGTGAGGGCTCCTGCGTCATGAACAGGACCAGGCACCTTACAAGAAGGCTTCGTGTAGTGTTTCGCCCTTTCTGCCTCTCCCCCTCACATGACATGCGAAGATGTCATACTCATCTGCTCCAGAGGACACACAGCAAAGATGACAACCCAAAGAGGCTACTGAAACTTCTGACACCTTAAACATGGGCTTCCCAGCCTTCAGAATTGTAAGACATGAGTTTCTCTTCCATCTGTGATTGCTGTTATAGTGGTGTGTGTAGATGAAGTTAAAAAATCACTTACTGTTACTGGAGTAAAGGGAGATGTCATGGAGTTTGAGAAGCAATTACGTAAGATTTATAATATAGTACTTTCATACTGTATAAGTAAAAAGGTACATAAAACTTTACATACCACACTGGCACTTAGGTAAATCTACAGAAGAATATATGGATCACAGGAACAAGACAGTGGCAGCCTGCTGTGGCTGGAGACACAGCTGTGGGTGACTTATAAGCAACACTGTTTTGTACCTCAGGCATGTTTCACCTATTCAAAAAAGCAGAAATGGACAGGGTAACAGTTTGTGTCAATATTACCCATGGTGATGATAAAACCATCAAAGCCTTTGCTTCTTGTTTCCTAGCAACATAGTTTTGAGCATCTAGCTCATGCCCCATTCCATTTCCATATTTGCTCTCTTACAGTATCGTTTTAACCAATCTTACTTAGAACACACTGCACCTTAGTGATATACCACCTCCAAATCTCAGAAGCTTAAAATAAGCAAGGTCTCTTTATTGATCACACTACAAATGCTGTCAGTGTAAGCACTATGTGTACACGGAACGAGCTACTGTCATGCGTGCAGGCTGTTAGGTATGGTAATTAGAGTCAAGATTATTTTTTGTAGAATGCTAATATTTTCACTGCCATTCATATAAGAATTCACTTGTATTGTTCTTTTTAGACTTAGCATACCAAAAAATAGTTCATGTTGAAAATATTGATGCTTTTTTAAACACTCAAAACATTTTAAAAATTCAGTATTTTTGTGATATTTTTCCTGTCAAATATTAACTGTTTAATGTAATAAAACTCAAAAATTTAAAATAATCCATCAATAGAAATAGTCTAAAGAGGGGCCGGGGAGATGGCTCAGTAGAATAAGTGCCTGCCTGGCAAGCACAAGGGCATGAGTTCAATCCCCGGTTCCACCAAAAAAAAAAAAAAAAAAGAAAGAAAGAAATAGTCTAAAGAATACACATTGCTGCGCCTTGATGACAAACTTATGTAAGTTCTGGTTAAAATTCACACAATTGAAAGTACATATTAATGTTTAAAAGGGTCCACAGTTAAAAAATAAAATAGGTTGAAAACTGATGACCTAGACCAATGCTTCTTTAAATCTCATCTTCATAACAGCAGCAATCACACCACGTGCAAGCGTCTTAGGAATAGGAATGCATGGTCTTCAAACCTGAATCAGAAATCTTCAGCTAAGGCCCACAAGTCATAAGCCTTCGAGTGGCTCTGCTGTAGACTGACGTTTGAAAATCAAAGTGGACAAGAGATGAACTTCCTGGTGGCACAGGCACCCTCCAGGAAAGAGGTGGAATCCCACTCCCGGACTTGGTTCTCTTCTTCTGATCTTTGAGGTGAGCTATGAGGGTGATACTCAGAAGTCACCTGGCAGAGTAGAGCAGAAAGCACTTGCCGAGCCAGGCTCTTAGCTTTTTGTTCTGGAGGTTTTTGTTGTTTTGCTTTCCTGTTTTCAGAATGTGATTTAGAGAACAGCTAGAAAAGAGATCTGCTACAATGGACTTCACTTTTTACTGTCATAGACTTGCTATAGGAGATGAAATTTGCTAACACAGACATTTCACATCTTGTTTAACCCTAGTTCAGCTACCAATGCTGACCAAACAAACTCATTTTATAGACTAGCAACCAGCAAAACTCAATAAGCATGAGGATTAGTACCATTCATAGATATCAGTAATAATAATACACACTCTACTCCCAAGTATCCAGCTAGAAGGGTGGATCCCTGGTGTGAGAAGGACATGCACAGTCAAAGGAAGACATCTAATGGAGGGGAAAGAAGAGGGGAAATGCAAGTCAACACAAACAAGAGAGTGAATACATCAGGGTACATTTATGCAATGAAAATACTAAACACTGCTGAAGATAAACAAGCAAAGCTTATGTCATAAATCACCAAAACAATTCGGATCAAATCAGCTATTGAATACATATAGTACATCATTTACATGTAGTTTAAAATTGTATCAAATTATATATACATTGCTTAGAAATTAATATGTGAGTTGGATGCCTCTTGAAAAGAAAAAAGATATAACAGCCCATCCCCTTCCGTAAAGTGAGTACTTACTATGCCCTCCTACATACCAAAGATGTAATTCTTAATATAAAGAATGAATACACATTTATCATGTTTTAGAGTAAATATACATTTATCATGTTTAGCCTCTGTAATCATAGGTAGACATGAAATAGCCTTAACACTTTAGCTTGAGCCACTGGCAGCATTGTGCTCTAAATCCACACTGTTGAAACGTGAGCATGATCCTGACTCAAGCAACACGACTCATAAGTGACTCATAAGCAGAGTCACAGAGAGACTGCAAGGGGAGTAACATGGTCCAGACTGCTTCTTGATAGATTATACTGGAATTTGCCATGAAAGCAAGAGCTATGACAGACAGTCTTAAGATATTTTAAAATCCCGAAAGTAAGAGCTCGATCACAGAAACACACACAGAAAAAATATACTGCCTCCATGGAATGGCAATAGACTTGCTGATCAAGAAAGAAACAGTGGGGCTGGGATGTATCTCAGAGTTACAGCACTTGCCTAACATGCTTGAAGCCCTGCATTCAAGTCCCAGCATTGAAAGAGAAGACGATGGAAGCACAGAAGACTTTGGGATTTCTGGCTTACAGAACTGAGTAGGAGATGGAACTATGCACCAAAGGCCAGCAGAGATAAGAGCCAACTGGACGAGTAAAATGGCATCTGTTTTGTAAATGCAGAACAAAAATCAATGGAAAAAAAAGAAAGAAGAAAATAAAATTAATAGTTGGAGATAAAAGATAAGAAAAACCTCTATTTTTATAAATGAATGTCTTTAACACAGAAAGGTCCCTTCCACAGCATAACTGATCTACTGCTATCTTTTCTGCCAAGAAAAGACAGCAGATTTCCAAATGCATAGCAGCATGACTGGTGAACAAATGACATCGCCCAGACATCCCTCATAACAATAATGCATTGACACCATTAACTGGATCGATGCATTTCAGAGAAGCTATTGCCTCGTCAAACATAGTGACTCCTATCTCCCTTTCTCAGGCTGGGTATATACCTCAGAGCGACAGCTAGATACACAGAGAGAACCATTTGATCAACTACTGATTAAAACCTGGTAGGAGTTGAGTATGACATTAGATAAGAAACAGAAGAAAGATTTAATCCTTCTGGTAATAGAATTAATGTTGACCTTGACCAACAGTAGCTCCCACTCTTCAATTTGCAGACTGGCTTTAGGCTGCTTCATATTTGTTCTATGGTTGTGCTTAAATTACATCAGTCACAAAAACTGTCCACTCAGGTTTGTTGAGCATCTTATCTCTAAAATTTAGCCTAGTGTGAAATTTAAAAAGCAGAGACTAATAAATAGGTAATGATAATGAAGACATTTTCCCTTGTTAATATTTATATTTCTACTGCCCTCCTTGGATAACAAAAAAGCAAATACATGGTGAATCAAAGTAGAAAGCAAGTAATAGTTACTGTTCAGTTATTAAAGTAAAGAACATAAAATTATGCCATGCTGTCTATCAAATGCTGACAATAGCCGCTTCACACATATTTTTCCTAAAATATAATAGTGCAGTTATAAATAGTTCTCCAGTAGTCTTAAAAACTGAAAGAAAAAAAAAAAAGCCTCACTTACTGCACTAAATCCACATGCAATGATTCGAGTTAACTTTTACGTATCTCATACGTTTTTTGAACCTACTTACCTTCTGCTCCCCTACTCCGTAAAGAACTGGACCAAATCTCAGAGAAGTGAGCTCCGCGTACT